CCTTTTATAAATCTTGAGTTATTTCCCATGACTTTAGTTCCCTATGAAATATCCTTCGTAATACTAATAAAAATAATATATATTCACAATGTAAATTCGTTTATCCCTACTGCTATGTGTTTTACTAGTAACTAAGTCTCAGCTAGGTTTATCTATAACCGTAAAACGTGTTTTAGAAGTACCAGCATCCTTCCGATAGGATTTTTTCATGTGCAGGACTTGTAACAAAATTTAGAAACATCTTTCATTCGAAGTTGTGTGTCATATCATATTTCTGGATAAAAACAAAATCAAAGTGCCCTGCGGTAAAACCTACTGCAACTGATTAGAGACATTTGTAACAGTGTTTGTGTAACAGTGGTTTGATTCCGCCAGTGTACTTTATCTGGAGGAAGAAAATCCCCAGTGATTTTTATCCACCAACAAAAATTCACTAGGTTTTTCTATCCAGGTCCAGTGTAAAACATCCACCAGTCATTATAAGGTTCTAAAAAACAGTTTTTTGAAGGGGAAATATATATAAAATTTGTCATTTTTAATAGTTTTAGTGTATTTGAAACTTGCATAGTTGATTTATGTAAAAAGTGGAAAGTTTTCATCCAAGGAATGTTCACACTAGTGTTTTTGTACAGAATGATTGCACTAGTTATTTTATACCGTGATTAATTACACTAGTGCTTTAGATCCATACATTGATGAAGTGATTAATACTCATTTTGAGCACACGATAACACAATAATGCTTATTAACGAATAAGATTTAAATAATTTTTCTATGCAAGTCTATAAAATCATATGCTTTTAAATTGTCACTAATTGTAATATTTATATTTATTGGATTGCCAAAGTTTTTCTGTGTATTTGCTTTTTGGTTGACTTGGATATAAAATCATATCTTCTATGTCAGTATCAAAGGATGCTTCTATATATAATTGAAACTTTATGTAAGAACAAATCTGCTCTTTAAATTTGGTTTATATCAAGTTCAATGTCTTGACCATTGATAAAGTATTTTGAGTTATAAAAATATCCTCCTCATCATCATCAATATTATTTACTGGATTGACTCAGATTAATTAAACTGATTTTCTTGAAAATAGGAAAAAAAAATATCTGAAACTTTATTGTTGTTTAATTTATAATTAGATATCGTTTCAAATAAGAAATTTGAAGTCCAATATTTTGGTGACAAATTATGAGACAAGTCGTAATATAAAATACTTAACTCCACAGAAGCAGCTGATACAGATTGTCTATGAAGTCGGACTTTATGAACGTATGGCATGTTTCTGATTTAGTTCATGAACACACAAACAATAATTGCTATTATGATTGGTTACTTTTTAGAAACGGTGATGCGTTATTCATTGTTCTTTTGACATAAAAAAGGACTAGCGATACACATAACCAAGGATCCCATTATATTTTTGTAGTCATACAGTTTGAGTTCTGCAACAATAGGTATGTCTTTCATCATATCATAATTAAGTTTCTGAAAGGTAAAAAAAAACCCAAAAATTCCACATTTCAACAAAAATCAAAACTGTTCACTGGACGTTAAAAATTTATCTGAGTACTTGAGTACTTGAGAGTATCATGACGGAGTACCCAAGTATTAAATTTCAGATCTTTTAACATCCCAAATTTTAAGATATTTAAAAAGTTAGCTTCTTGTATAAAAAAATAAACATTTATTAATCAACTGGTAAAAAACAAATTAATCTATAATTACTATTGCCAGCAATAGATGATATTATCCTGTTTCCACATTGCCAGACAACCTGGTTACCAAGTAACCACAGCCTTTTGAAAATAAAATCTGAACAACACATCTCCAGATGTTGATTAATGTTGTGTAAAGTTTCATTCATTTTGAATATTTTGATATTTTATATATTTGTTTTTTTTTTTAATGTTTATGACAATATTTAAAAGTCTGCCATTATAAAAATTTCGAACCCTAACTGCACATCTACACAAGGTGGTTCCAATTCTGCTGAACTATCATGAAGATAAATCCCAGATAAAAAGTGTTGTTAAACCTTTAGATTTTGTTTTTAAAAATACCTGTCTAAAATGGTTATTTCTAAAATCTCAAGAAGATATTTTATATGAGTTTATAGGGTTAAATATCATAACTTACAATGAAATTACATTTATATTATATTATCATAACGTAGGTGAGTCAATAGTTATCAAAGGTACTAGGATTATAATTTAATATGCTGAAGCGCGTTTCGTCTACATAAGTCTCATCAGTGACGCTCAGATCAAAATATATATAAAGCCAAACAAGTACAAAGTTGAAGAGCATTGAGGACCCTAAATTCCAAAAAAGTTGTGCCAAATACGGCTAAGGTCTATTCCTGGGATAAGAAAATCCTTAGTTTTTTCAAAAATTCAAAGTTTTGTAACAGGAAATTAATAAAAATGACCATATAATTGATATTCATGTCAACATCTTATGGATGTAATTTTTAATCACCTAGTTAATTGCCATGAGAACATGTTGTGAAAGCAAACATATTCTATATAATATAAATGTAATTTCATGGGAAGTATATTTAATCAAATTCATATTTAATCAAAGTACTGAAGTACTGAACATCGGATGACCACAAGTTCTTGAGGATGGTCAAAAGCACTTGTCTCAGAAAAAAACAACATATCTCTTTACCTAAAACTCAGGTTAATGTACAGAGATATATTTTTTTCTGAGACAAGTTCGTGTGTGGATGATGAATAAATGACAGGAAATTCAACTTCACCGTAATAACTATTATATTGTAGTGATACAAATCAGTATACACTGAGTTGTTGTTTATATTATATTAAAATAACAGTTACATATATATATGATTTGAATCCATTTGTATATCATTCTATTCTACTATTCTAAAAATAGTGCAATGCAAGTGCATGGTGGACACTTTTCTGTAAAAATTCGATTTTTCTAAGATTGGATACGAGTAGGCATTCATATTTTCCCGCAAAATCAATTACAGAGTTACCGGTCCTTCACGGTATTTTCACAAAACGTTCTTTGAGATATTCTTCCGCATGCTTTAACACAATTTTTCGGTACGTGTGCATTGATATTATCAATGATTTTTTACTTATATATATATATCTAACTACAAAACATTTTCATATTATTAATTTATGTTGTAAACAAAAATATTTTTATCAGTATTCATTGAAGAGATGTATTTATATCAAACGATAAGGAATGTTATTTTGCACTCGTTTATGTGCGCGTATTTATCATGTTTATAGATCGGTTACAAACCCAAAACTAATTTACATAATGGAAATCTAGGCGATAGCAATACATCGGGATGACCTCAAGGTCATCTCGATGTAAAAATTACACAATTATAACACTATTATACCTTCAATCCAATTTCTTCCAGGGAGTACAAGTAGGATTCACCCCCATAAATGTAGCAGAGACGTATGACATTTTAAAGGTATTTGATATTAAGATAGTGTAAGGTAAATAGCAAAAATAATTGGTTTATAATCATAGTCTAAATTTCAGATGCACCAACAGACACATGACATAATCTACATAGCTGTGACAGAGTAAAGGTTGATGAATATTTTCAGAAAACATATAACAGTTAGTCATATGAATTTGTATAATTGTTTTTAGAAAACGTACGTCTCCCTCTAGAATGGAAAACAAATCAGCAAGATAGCATTAACAAACCAGTGTAAAATATCAATCTATGATACTTTTAACAGTCTTTTTGAGTTTTTCTTATTGTTATTTACAGAAATTAATAGGTGAGAAGATATGTGTAGTATAAGCTTTCTCCTCTGCTTGCATGACAAAATATAAACATCTGCACAACACTGCTAGAACTTTAATTTGACATTTTCCTTTTGTATATTGAACATACATCATAGTTGTAGAATAGTTTTAATCTCTCATCACTCTTTGTTTAGGCTATGATTCCAGTACCTCAGTAACTACATTAATTTTTTTATGACCATATTATATGAGGACATTCAAGGGTATTTTTATTCTTTATATTGAAATTGCATACATAATTACTTAATTAACTTCATGAAAATTGAAAAAATAGTATTAACATTGGACATTTATTACACAAGATAATGGAGAAACTTGTTAAAGGGGCATAAAAATATGATTTAGACAAAAAAAATAAATACAGTTCTTTTGCTTTAAGTAATAATTAAATTATTTGTGATTAATTTTTAATTAACAATTCTTTATAAGCAATATGTGTGGACAAAATTGGTCAAAATAAAATCAAATACATTGTACATCACTGATGAATTATTGACTTGCAAGTCAATAATTTAACCTCATTGAATCCGTATTCATGTGACCTTTAAGTTAACCTCCTCCTAACTAGCATGTGAGGTTATCCTAGTTTTTTTGGTGGTTTCGTTTTAACCTCTTTATTGTTTAATCTTGTATTTTGTGTACTGCTGTCTGTTTTTCACTTTTGTTCATGGCTTTGTCAAGTTCTCTGATCAGTTTGAATGTAACTGTGATCTTCCACCTTTCTATCTTCCTAATCACAATTTTTTTCTTTCACCTAGCTTGATTTTCACTCTGCTTTGCTACAACACAAATGTCATATGCATAATGTATTGTCCAAATATTTTATGATATGTGTGTCTTCAATTTTCTGTATTATTCTAAACTTTCTTCATTCTTTTTTATATGTTTTCCAAAAAAAGATTTATTAATATCAGATTGAAAAGAAGTAATATATATGTATATCAAACAAAAGCAAACAGAAAAGGGACCCCTTACAGTCAGAAAAAAACATTACAGATACATCTATTTAAAAAAAGAAATTGAAAACTAATTTTACACAAAATGATCAATATGATCAAGAATATGGAGTACCATATTATCAGAGATATATTTAATAGAAGAGAAAATATCACACTCAAGATATATAATGAATCTATAAGTTGATGCAGATTGAGAATTACTCCAATTTATTTTATCAATGCCAATATGCTTAGATTAAAACAGGAAACAAAGTTGAAGTAGAAAAAGAGATTAAAAAAGAACAGTCCCTAGCGAAGGATGAAGAAAATTCCAAAGATGAAGTAAGAAAATATTTCTGAAATTCATAGTTTTCATTTAATAATTGAGATTAGAAATAATTTTATACCCCATTCAACAAAGTTCTGGAGGGTACAATGTTTTACAGTTACGAGTTGGTTGGCCGTTATGGAATAACAGTTTCACAGATGATATCGGATATGTTCCTTATGTCGTAACTACAATACCGTTTCCTTTTCATGAATGTGACTTACCGAATAAGACTATTTACCGGATTTGAAATAACATAAGCAACACGACGGGTGCCACATGTGGAACAGGATCTGCTTACCATTTCGGAGCACCTGAGATCACCCCCAGTTTTTGGTGGGGTTTTTGTTGCTTAGTCTTTAGTTTTCTATGTTGTGTCATCTGTACTATTATTTGTCTGTTTGTCTTTTTATTTTTGGCCATGGCATTGTCAGTTTGTTTTTCGATCTATGAGTTTGACTGTCCCTCTGGTATCTTTCGTCCCTCTTTTAGACCCGTCCGTCTATCTGTCTCTCCATCTGACAGTCTGACAGTGCTGTTCTTGTCATCACAACTCCCCTGAAACCACACAACAAAATTTCTTGAAACTTTTTAGATAATAAGGACATAATATCTAGATGTACATCTAGACAGAAAATTACAAATCAATTTTTATGCCCCAGCCGTAGCGGTGGGGGCATTAAGTTTTACTCTTGTCCGTCTGTACGTACGTACGTAGTCCCAAAACTGGTTTCCTTTCTCTAACTTGAGTTTGCCTCAACCAAATGTTCTGAAACTTATACACAATGCTTATTACCACAAAACACAGATCAAGTTTGAATTTTGAAGGTGTCACTTTAATCGTTCTAGAGTTATGCCCCTTTATAAATGGCAAAATTGCTAAATTTTTAGTTTCCGTTCTCTAACTTATGTTTGCCTCAACCAAATGTTATGAAACTTATACACAATGCTTATTACCACAAAACACAGATCAAGTTTGAATTTTGGTGATGTCACTTTAACTGTTCTAGAGTTATGCCCCTTTATAAGTGGAAAAATTGCAAATTTCTTATTTTCTTCTAAATATCAAGTAATTTTTAAAATTGGAGTTATCTTCCTTTGTCCATGATTAAAGTTGAATCAACTTCAATAAATGCTTTATACAATGCAATGTTTAATTTTGACTTCCACTGATAAAACACAGATCATGTTGAATTTGGGTAGTGTCATTTTAACCATTATTGAGTTATGCCCCTTTATAAATCAAAAGATTGCAAAATTTTAAGTTTCCATTCTGTAACTTAAGTTTGCCCCAACCAAACATTATGAAACCTATACACAATATTCATTACCACAAAACTAAGATCAAGTACACATTTTTAGTTTCCATTTTCGAACTTTAGTTTGCCTCAACCAAATGTTATGAAATTAATACACAATGCTTATTACTACATAATACAGATTGAGTTTGAATTTTGGTGATGTCACTTTAACCGTTCTAGAGTTATGCCCCTTTATAAATGGAAAAATTGCTAAATTTTTATTTTCTTCTAAATATCAAGTAATTTTTAAAATTGGAGTTATCTTCCTTTGTCCATGATTATAGTTGAATCAACTACAATAAATGCTTTATACAATGCAATGTTTAATTTTGACTTCCACTGATAAAACACAAATCAAGTTGAATTTGGGTAGTGTCACTTTAACCATTATTGAGTTATGCCCCTTTATAAATCGAAAGATTGCAAAATTTTAAGTTTCCATTCTGTAACTTAAGTTTGCCCCAACCAAACATTATGAAACCTATACACAATATTCATTACCACAAAACTAAGATGCTTATTACTACATAGTACAGATTAAGTACGAAATTTGGTGGCAACACTTTTACAATTCTTAAGTTATGTCCCTTTATAAACATAAAAATTGCTGAATTTTTTCGTTTCTGTTCTCTAACTTTAGTTTGTCTCAACCAAATATCATAAAACTTATACACAACCGTTCTAGAGTTATGCGTGTTTACAAATAGAAAAATTGCTGAATTTTTAGTTTCTGTTCTGTGCTTACATTAGCCTCAACCAAACGTTATGAGACTTAATACACACAATGCTTATTACCACAATACTCAGATCAAGTTCAAATTTGGGTAGCGTCACTTTTACAGTTCTTCAGTTATGTCCCTTTATAACTATTATGATATGCAAGCGGGGGCATCATCTGTGTCCACATGTGGACACTATCTATATATTTTTTAGTATGAGTTATGCCCCTTTTACTTGGAAATTTGGCCTAGATATACTACTGCAACAGTTTGTCATCACAACTCCTCTGAAACCACACAACAGAATTTAATGAAACTTTCTAGATAAATAAGGACATACTATGTAGATGTGCATATCGACAGGAAATTGTGACTGAATTTGTTTCTAGGAATTAATTTAATTTTTATGACCTTTTGAACTTAGAATTTTGGCCTAAATATACTACTGCAACAGTTTGTCATCGCAACTCTTCTGAAACCACACAACAGAATTTCATGACACTTTGTAGTTAATGAGGACATAATATGTAAATGTGCATATCCACAAGATCATAATTTTTATCAGTTCACTTTTGTAGAGTTGTTAGTCATTGAACTAAGGAATCTGGTGAGATTTTGTTGGTCTAGTTACACTGTGGGGGCGTGGTGTACACATCTACTTTTTCATGTGTATTCTTTAGTACTATAATTATACAGTACTGAAAATAAACTGTTTAAATTTTTTAGTACTTAAAATGTACAAATGATTATTTGTTCCTTCAAGCAAACTACCTGTAGTATTTTTTTGGAAAAAAATGCAGTGCAGTTCAGGGAGCATCAGTCGACAGTTCTAGCTTTCAAATAGTTCTGTATATATTCTTTTTCAAAGAAAGCTAAGGGATACTGTTTCTATATGAATTCTGTAGGTTGAAAATGAAGAAATAGATACTGCAGAGACAGAAACTGCAGAGGCAGAAACTACAGAAACTGCATCAAAAGTACAGAGTAATGTAAGATTCTGTTAAGGAAAAAAACAATAAGTTTGATAATATATATCAATTACAGATTCAACTATCTATTTGCTTTAATTTTAGGTATAGAAGGTTAGTAACTGTTTAGAAACATAAGAAAACTGTTAAAATTAAACATCAGATTGAGTCTTAATTCCTTGATAATCCAGTTGGTGTTGATTGAAAAAAAAATGACTTAAGCACATTGATTTCATTACTGACTTTGGATATGGACAATCAGCCATGATTATTCAATACAGATGTACAGAAATAAAACTGCTGACTATCTTAACGTGTGAAATTTAGACTAGTGACCTATCAAAATGAGCAAGTCTTCAATACCGTTAGCATTAAGAAACTACTTCCATTGATCCTACAAAAACAGATGCCAACAATAACAACTTGTTAGGTTTAAATGTGTTTTATGAATTTATGTCAATCTTCATCATCAATTTCCTGGTCTGTCGAAACCTTTAAGATTTTTTCTCAGTACTGTTTTGTTTTTATAAAGGGACGTAACACCACTACTAACCGTGTATGAAATAAGCCCCGCCTCCCTACTTACCTAATATGGAATATACACGGTCTCCACGCGGACGCTTTTAACCAATCATATTCCTAGAAATGTATAGGAGGTAAGATTAAATGTATTATGATTCTCCTGATTAACAACATGCATTAATTAATTGATATTGATATTTTTTTTCCAACTATTAAAAATGATTTTATACCCGATAAAATTTTTAGACCAAAAATTTGAACACAAAGACTGGACAACATTAAAAATTGAAGAAATAACTACTGATATATTATCATATAAAACAGGGATTTCCAGAAGACATGCCAAGACCAGTGCCTCCAACCTGGAATTCTGAGCTTGTAAGACAGCTGGTTGTTGTTGGAAAAAACTGCTCAAAAGTGGGCTTCTAACAGCAAAAGAAGAACAATGGTGGCATGAGTTGTCTGTTACTAAAATACAGGGTGGTGATAATGAGGTATAAATGAAGTTTATCGGTTTAATTAATAGATATAGGAAGTTAAGTATACTGTTGTTCAATAGTCATAATTGTACAATTAATTAAATGAGACTTACCTGAAGTCGTGATTTGATTGTAATTTTGTTGAACCTATTTATGCTGAGAGTTAACATGAGATGCGCATGCAGATCGTAGAGTTCACTTTTCAGAGAATGTAACAGAGCACATAAGCACATGATACACCAAAAGAAACTGCGTGCGCATCTCATGTTAACTCTCAGCATAAATAGGTTCAACAAAATTTTCTTAAGGTAAGTCTCATTTTATTGTACAATTTTATTGAACCTATATGCTGAGAGTACCATGAGATTTCAGAGATATGTGATCTGTTACTTATGTCCTTTGTAATTTATTACAGCCTCAATTCATGATTTATATTTTCAGGCTTGAAAGAAACAAGATGTTGTATCAACTTTGTATTCTATCAAAGTACAAAAGTAAATTAAATCAAACATATATACACATGTTATGTTAAACTTTTAAGTGTCTATTCATACTAAATCTTACATATCTGTTATCATTATACACGAGACTTGTCAGAATTTGACAAGATACAATACAAATACAAATACAAAGTTTTTTATTGTCAATTATGACGCCCAATAATTTGAGCAATACAATTAAGTTCAATTTCATACAAGTGATTACATATTGATTACATTGATTATTAACAATTAAACAAAATCAAGTCTTTCTCAGCAGAATAATTTCTACAGGAATAATATGTATAGTTTTACAATATAATATAGATGGACAAACTACCGGTGACTAAACTGTATCTAGAATTAAATTTTTCTCTTTGAATAAAGTACACAATAATAAACTTTACTTTTTTAATTATAACATTATCCTCAGATGACATTATCCATATTAATTTTGATTTATTTGGGAGGCTTTTAAAGTTTTTGTTAACCTTATTTAAGTAATTTATATATTCAGATCTTTTATTTTCTAAAACAGGACACTGAAGACGAAAATGAATTTCATCTTCAACTTCAGTGTTGCATAATTTACATATTCTATCCTCCACTCGAAGCCCCACATATCTGCCTCTTTCAATTTCTAATTTATGTGCACTGACTCTGAACTAAGTGAGCAGTCGCCTATCATCCTCATTCAAAATTAATAAGTATTTTTCCATACAAATATTTTCTTTAAATAATCTGTAAGTTCTTAGTTTATTTCCATGCTGTTTATTTTGTCTATCATTGTAAAGTTCAGATTTCCAAATACAAGAATATTTCTGTTTTAATTTCCGGTAAATTAGTGATTTTAAATCCATCTTTGAATTTTTAACAAGTTTAAGATCTATATCAAGATATTTCATAAGAATAACAATACAACTGTTATGTGACCAACTATTTTTGTTTAAACTATTTAGTGATCTAGAGACATTCAGAGCTTCAGAGAGAAGGATATCATCAGACTTTAATACATATTTATAATATCTAAACATATTTAAAATTACTTCAAGAAATAAGGGATATCTTCCCATTTCACCCAATACAGCTATATTTGTAGATTTCTTACCCATAGAAAATTTACAGAATTTTAAGATACGACTTCTCAAAACCTTAACACTATAATTATCATCATAATTTGGTTTCGATACAGGTTAATTATAGAATTTCCTGAATGTTGATTCAATTGACCAACCTGCCGCTTTTAAAATTGTATCAACTTATGTAGCACACCGTAATGCTGCAGATGTACTGGCTGATCTAGTACTATGTGGTTTATATATAGTTATGTCTACACCAGCCATTTGCAAAACAATTTTAACCCAACGTCCAAGAGTGTCTTTAGACACATGAGAATATGGTTTTATACAGCTCAAGATTAATTTTTGAGTTTTCCGAAAACATGATGTTCTATAACCAAATAATTTTTTAGAACAGTTACAATACACAGCCTATTGTCCTTAATAAAAGCTGGCAACTCTATTGGTTGTAAATGCCTTGGCTTCGAACATTTCAATAAACTTCTCACATCTATATATATGTTACTATCTGTAACAGTTATATCATCTAAATCTAAGCTATGAATGGTTTGTAACCTTTGTCCTTTTAACAATAATAGCAGTGTAACTAGCTTATATGATAAAACATGTAAAGATTACATATACACTGGTGTCAATGTCTTCAAATATTTTAGCTCTACTTCAGCGTCCCAGGTTCTTTGATATCTGGGTAATGATGGCTTAAGATTGAATATGCCTTGAAGAAATCGCTTCACCAATGGCCATTGACCAACAGTTTTCTCTTGATTTACAGACATAAATGAAGATAACATACTTATGGCAGTGTTAATAGCACTGTAACCTAAACCTTTTTTATATAAAGAAGTTAAAAATTCTAAAACATTTAACTCAGAGGCCGTAAATGAATTAATTTTCTGTTCACTGCAAAATTACAACCATCTTTTGCAATATGTCCAATATTGTTGTCGAGTAGCTGGTTTCCAAGATGCAATGATGATTTCGGCATATTCTTTTGATAATCCATAATTTTGCAAGATTTCCCCGATATTCTGAAAACTGCTAATCGTAATTTCACTAAATGATGTTCCTTTGTTGGATTTTGTGGTTGATAAAGAAGATTTTTTCGACTGTTTATTAAAAATGAAATTGCCACAATGCGATGAAGTATTTGTGGAAACCAGTTCTGAGTGTTCCACAATGGTGCAACTAATGTCATGTCCGCTTGATCCTTGTCCACTTTTTGCAGTATCTTCCCAATCAGACTGAAAGGTGAAAAACAATAGCAATTAATGTATTTCAGTTCACAGAAAGAGCATCTACTGCTTCAGCATGTTTATCAGGCAAATATATAAAATAACTTGGTAATTGATGAATAAATTTTGATGCAAACAAATCCACATCATGTGGTCCAAATAAACTATCAATAATATTGAAAACATCATCATGCAATTTCCACTCAATATACACATTTATTGATATCGACAGTCTATCTGTTTCTATATAATAGCAACTCCGGGCAAATGACAAGCAGTAAGCCCAATTTTCCTTTGTATACACCAAATCCACAATTCATTTGTCAAATTGTTTAACTTCACATTATGCGGCCACCCATTTTATTTATATAATTCACTGCGACCATGTTATCGAGATATACTTTTACATAAATATTGTTTCTTGACGAACATAACCAAATTAATGCTAATAATGCCGCCTTAAGCTCTAGAAAATTAATATGGTTTTTCTGTTCTGTATATGACCAAAATTAACCCTTTGGTTTGACGAGCAGTGTATCTTGCACAACTGCACCCCAACCAGTGTTTGAACTATCAGTGTTAAGAATAAATTGCGGATCTGTTAAAGTCATTGGTTTGAAACTATTTTTTATATTATTAACCCACCAATTTGAATCTGAAACATTTCCATCTGACAAAGTCATTTTGGCATCAAAATTTCCATAATTTTGTTTTAACAATATATCTTTTGTAATTTCTATAGATTTTATATATAATGGTGCGTACTGTACACCTGGTTCTGTTGCTACAAATTTTCCAATTACTCGTGCAAACTCTCGTATTTGAATCTCTTTTTTTGAGAATTAACCGAGTACATAATTTAATTATATTGTCTGCCTTTTCTTCTGTTACTCTAATACACATTGTTATTGAATTAATCACAAAACCCCAAAACACAATAATTTGAGTAGGTTGAAGTACAGATTTATCTGGATGTATGGTAAAACCAAGATGATCTAATAATTGTACTGTGTCAATTATATTGCTTTGACATCCAGAAAAGGTTTTGCTCACAAGTAAACTATCATCAATATATGGTGTGTTGCATCGCAAAATATAAACATCAAAATAAATAAAAATGCACTATCTGGCAGCAGCTGCCATATTCCTGATAAAGTTTTAAGGTGCATTCAATATAGATAATTTATTTTGGAATTTTTTTTAACAACAAAATCTATGCCTGATTGATTTTTTTTATCCAAGTGCTGACCAAATAATTTTTTACCAAAATCAGGGTCAGGATAAAAAAGAAACAGCCACCCCACCCAAGACAATTAAATGATCAGTACCCTAGTCATTATGACAAATTTAAATATGTGAAACTGGACGGAATCCTTTTACTAAAATGAACATGTTTTTTCTGGATAATACTCGTATGACCTTAACCTCATATTCATTGTTCATCGGTCAATGTTGTTTTTTTTCTTGTTTGTCTGTTTTTAAGCTTTGTTCAGGTACACAGGTGATCTACATTTTATTAATGGTTATAGAGTGATTGTAAAGGGTCTATATTTTTCTTTGAAATTTCATCGGAATTTGACCTTATTTTCATGGTTCATATGTCAAAGTTTTAAAATTTCTTTAATATGGTATTTTTTCAAATACTACATGGATAGTAGAACTAAATTCGGTATATCGAATACTTTTTTGGTGTCTGTCTTGCATGTGATGGTTGACCCTATTTTCATGGTTCATTGGTTCCACTGTTTTCTGAGGTTTTTCTCTGAAAAACTTTTAGCAACAGGGGAACTGAAGTTGGTGTATGAATTAATAGTACTGTCTACATGTCTTCCTGAAAAGGTTTATCTTACCTTAATCATTTAAATGTTAATGGAATGCAACGCTTGTGTCCATCGTATATTACATTTCTTTTCTTGATTTTATTATGCATTCAAATTAAAACACTTCAACAGGCTCAAAACTTCTATGTGTCAACTCTTGTTTCATTTAACCTTGCTGCATGATACTATATGTCCTTAGTATGTACCTGTCTAAAATCAGGAGCCTGTAATTTTAGTAGCTGTTGCTTGTTGCCATATGTTACATACATTTTGTCTTTTGTCTCACTTGACAGAGTCAAAAAGCGACACATAGGTATGCTGTCTCCTGCGCCGGCGGCGTCAACAATGTATTAGTTTGTGATTAGGTCTAGTTTATGGTAAACCACTAGTGGTAAGTCAAATATATTTGGTATGCAGTTGTATTGGTATTTGCACATCTCATTACCGTGGAGATTATTTGGCCCGCCCCCTCAGTTATGGTCTATTGACTTTGAAATTTTTGCTTAGTTTTCATGTATTAGTATGTGATTAGGTCAGTTTATGGTAAACCACTAGTAGTAAGTTAATGATAATTGGTATGCAGTTGTAATAGCATTGTCAAATCTCATTTTCCATGGAGATTATTTGACCTGTCCCCCTCAGTCATGGTCTATTAACTTTTAAACTTTTGCTTAGTTTTCATGTATTAGTTTGTGATTAGGTCCGTTTATGGGGTTAATGATATTTAGTATGCAGTTGTATGAGCATTGGCACATCTCATTACCATGGAGATTATTTGACCCTGCCCCCTCATTAATGGTTTATTGACTTTTACATTATGCTTAGTTTACATATATTAGTTTGTGTTTAGGTTTGTTGAAAGGGATAAGTCAATGGTTTTTGATATGCAGTTGTATTAGTATTGGCACATCATATTTCCATGGAGATTGTTCAGCCATGGTTCATTGACTGAATATTTGCAAAACATACATGTTAAAGTGTTGCTATTGTAATTTCAACATTTGAATTATTAAAATTACCAATTTGTACAATTTGCAATTAATACCATGCAGATTTTTTTTATTAGAATGAGATAGCCCAATGCCCATTGTTGGAAATAATTGAGACTGTGGCAGCAAGAATTAGTCTGCAAGAAATTTTTATACCAAAAGAAATCCAGAATTTGCAGAATCAGCAAAAAAGAGTAAATGTAGTATGTTTTATTAATAATTTCATTGAAATATTAAGGGAAAAGGAATGCATTTAGGCTCATACACAATACTAAGGTTTATGACAGATTATTGAATGACTGTAATTTTTTAATGAAGATTTTTACTAGTTTGATTGTTCTGCATGGTCCACATCTTGCTCAGGACAGTTTCAACTGACCTCAACCTGTTTTGAGGTATTTGAATAAAATTCAAATCATGCTGAGTCCCATATCTAATAGCAATACTTCATCTTTATAGATTTTAAAAAATTTGTTTCACATGTTTTCCCAGACTCTTAATCAAATTACTACATGTTTCCTATTACTAACCAGAATTCTAATATGACGTTCTTCTTTCACTTTGGAAACAAAGCCATGCTCTAATTACAATAAAATATGGGCTGCACGTGATTGACGTCACAATTGAAATTGCAATGTCAGTTTATTTTGAACAACGCCGGAGATCGAAATGGATCTTTTTGTTGGTGTTGCTCGCTAGGAAATTAATTAAAATCATTCTAAAAGTAAGTTTACATATATATGTTATTTTTTTTATCGTGGAACTGTTGATTTTCTATAACGTTTTTGGTTCATCAAATCAAAATGGCTGCCTTTCGAATGTGTATTATAGGTCCGCTTCGAAGTACAAAAGTTCTAATTTTTCCTATCAGAATCAAAATAATTCTTAACGCTCGGTATAAAGATATTGACAAATATAATGCCTACCCATGTTAAAATGAGCAAAAAGTATGGCATGAAAGAATTATTTCTTAAATACAATGCATTTTTACTTGTTTCAATCGTCTTATGATTTTGTTTGTACAATACTGTAAGTGCCACCTTCCGATTGTGTTTTAAGCATACACATAAACAGGCACCATTCATTCATTTGCCTTAAATATTACAATTTGCAGGCATATTCTGGGAAATATATTAATCCTGCCAAAAGAGCAATAAAGAATCAAGAAGACATTATGGATAACACATTGGAAAATAATACCAATAGTGATGTGTATGTCTCTACTGAAGCAGGTAATTTGCATAAATTTATATATTTTCTTAAAAAAGTATTGATAAATAGCCAAGTAAAAGTGAGGTGAATTAAATTGACACATTTTCTAAGAAAGAGAATTAAAAGAAAGTCGACAAAAGTCTTGCCAAATTTGTCTTTACTATCATTATCTTTTTCGAGTGACAGTTACTGTTAGTAGTAGACACAATAAACATATTCCGAATTTTCATATTAGTCTTGTAAAATATTTAAGGAATGACTGTAATATTTTTTCTGTCTATGAAGAAATAACATCAAAAATGTGGTGCACTGACTGATTCAATAACCCGTGTAGCGGGTTATCTAAAAGTGTGCACCACATTTTTTAGGTTATTTCGAATAGACAGAAAAAATATTACAGTCATTCCATATAATTTAATTCTAAAAAGGCTAAATCATGATTAAAACGTTGATGACGTCACGGTCACATGACAAAATTATGTCTATGAGCTGATAGACAAAACACTTTCCAAAGTATCAGCCAATCAGAAGACGTGTTGCATCCAGAATTAAATTATTATCAAATGTTTCAAAAAATAAAGTAGACTTATAATTTAGAATTTGTGAACTAACTAAATGAAATTATATTTTATTGGTATTGTAATTTATATGTCATTATTATGTGTAATGTGTCTAAGTGATTACAATAAACTTGGTACTGTAATTATCCGTGTATAAAAAAAAATAGTTAATTTGTAAATCATGATTAATTTTAAGGTAAATATCCAAGTTTTTATTAAAAATTTAGTTATTGAAATGAAAGATTGAGAAGCAATTTTAATGCTGTTTATTCGTAGATATGCTCAAATTTAAATATAATATTAGAGTTAGAAAACATTAACAAGTAACATCAATATATTGTTTTACAGAAATGGCATACCAGTTTCCAGTAACAACAAAAAGTGGACGAAAGGCTACAAGATTTGTAACATGCACTTAGGAAGAATGTATCAATATTATTACTGCATATATATTTGTATACCCCTGATCTAGGTAGTGATAAAGGACAATGCTCATATAATGTAGAGGTCTTTATTTGTTTTTGAAAGTTTAGAATGAATTTTGTATAAAAATAAAAAATTAATAGACAAATAATAAATATTCATGAAATTTTGAAAAAATTGAAATAAAACTGTTTGTTGTAAAATATAACTATATGTTTTAGAAACAGATGTTTGATAATAACATTAAAAATGAAGGAATATTTGGCCATAAAAATTATATAATAATGCATTTACTTCTTTTGAGAAAATATTTTTTCTACTAGATTTATAGAAAAATATGCATGGGTCAACTTCCTCATACAGAAGCAGGGTTCACGTTATTGAGACAGATTTTTGTGATTATAAGTATTGTGTACAAGTTTCATAACATTCGATTAAGGAAACTAAATTAGAGAACAGAAATAACAGATTTAGCAATTTTTCCATTTATAAAGGGCATAACTCAAGAACAGTAAAAGTAACACCACCCAATTCCTGTGAATTGTTGTAACAAGCATTGTGTATAAGTTTTTTTAATATTTGGTTGGGGGAAACTGAGGTAAGAGAAAGGAAATTACAAATTAAGCAATTTTTGTATTTATAAAGGGGCGTAACTCATGAAAGGTAAAAGTGCCGCAACCAATTTTTAAACTTGTGTTTTTGTGATAATAAGCCAATGTGTATAAGATTTGCAACATTTGGTTGAGGCAAAGTAAAGGTAGATAACGGAAATCAAATTTCCAGATGTTTGGGACAGACAGACGTTAGATCATAACACTAAATGCTCTTTACGCCTAGTGGCAGGTGCATTATTAAAAAAAACCACATATACTATCAAGTGCAATTGTACATATGAACATTTTTGTAGGTATGTTTGATTTTTATGTCAAAGAATATTTCTTTTTTTTTTGTGGAACTACATAGCTAATGCTATCAATTATGTTGAATATAAATAATAATATCAACAGATTTTTATTTATTAATGCTGAAAATTTTTCATGAGTGTCATCTTTTGTAAAGTTGTGCATATCTTCTACTTGTGATGCCATAAATAATCTGCCAAGTCACTAAGAATTGTTAGCAATTGTTATTTGAGGCAACACATAACTAGTTATAAGAGACTCAGGCTCAGCTCTGGCAGGACCAAGTCTGAAATGAAAATAAACAACATATAATTGTCCTGTGTATTAAAAGAAAAATAGATTGAATATTATGTAAACATTTAAAAGTCAATAAAGATAAATAAAAGATGAAAGTCATATAAATAAATAAACATGATAAAAGTCAACTGATTTATTTGACAAGGCAATATATTTTAAAAAGCAATTAGTTTATATTTGTGAACCACTTTGTGGTCAAATTACTAAATTGTCTTAAATGAATAAATATTATACATCACAATAGAGTACATTTTCATATAGCGGTAACGAACATTATGCCAGTATAATTGTATAATAAGCATTTGTTTTACATTGTACATTATCTTATACACTGTGCATGCTTTTTACAAAAGTATTATTATTAAATATGTAGAATAAATTGTCCCATTTTATTTTCATTAAGATATAATAATATTTGTTTTGTAATTATGGTCGAAACATTTCATTCTTTTTAAACCTTTTTGATTCATATGATTTGAAAAGAAATTGATATTTAGGTATTGAATCTGGTATTGAATTTGGTATTATATATCAATTGAATATGACAAATTTGGAAATAAACAATTAGATTTTGTTAAACAAATTCATATTATTTTTAAGATTTTATTGCTGGAATTGCAACCAAAAATTGATGTACAGTGTTACTCTAAAATGGATAAACATTTTTGGTAAATGACTGCTATTTATAAAAAAAATTAGGTTGGAGTACATTAAACAAACTTGATATCTAGCCCCTCCCCTCCCCCCCAAAAAAAAAATGTATTTGTATAACTAAATTACTAATTCATCCTCTTCATACCAACTGGCTCATAAGGGTATAAATGTTTTTTTTAAACCAAAAATATGACTTGTTTTGTTTGTATCTAATTTTTAAAGTTATTGTTATTGTTATCAGTACATGAGTATAAAAAAGTATGTTGGAAAAAATATGGCATTTTCTTGTAGCAATATTTTGTATTGAGGTGATTTATGATTGAATATAAACCTGTGAGTTTATTTTACCTGTCTGTAACTTTAAAGAAAAGATACAAGTGAACATTCAATTATAAAATTTATAGTTGTGTTGTTTCTTCAATAATAAACAAAATAATTACCTTTTCATTGGAATATTGCCTTTTATCAGATTTACTACAATTTTGCTTGAAAAAGGACAACTGTTAAAGTGATGTTAAGGATAAACTATTAGTACACAAAAATGAGAATGTTAATGAAAAGCTTTATAGAATTATCAAATAATAAAACACAACAGAAAATACAAAATCAACCAGTCTAGTTTCTTTCTTAAGTAAAATATACAACTTCCTGATAGTATGCTTGAACAAACAAATGTCATGTGACATTATGAAGGACAGGTACAAACTCTTTACCCATTATTAGAAGGAACACTAGCTCATTGATAAAAACCTCACAAAACTAATTATAATTATGTAATAAAATGCTCCGCAGGTCGCAGCTTGATACGACCGCAGAGGTCGAACCCTGAACAGTTGGGGCAAGTATGGACACAACATTCAAGCTTGATACAGCTCTGAATTTGGATTGTGATTAAATATTTGACACAGCATAGGTTTCTGACACAGAATGAATGTGGTCTAAGAACTTAAAAATTTTAAATTGGACATTCACCTATTATGGTCCAATATCCAAAATCTAAATACATGGTTAGATTCAGCATATCAAAGAACCCCAAGAATTCAATTTTTGATGAAATCAAATAAAGTTTAATTTTGGACCCTTTTGACCTCAATGTGGACAAAGTTGATAACGGGGCCCAAAAATCAAAAATCTAAATACATAGTTAGATTCAGCATATCAAAGAACCCCATATATTCAATTTTTGTTGAAATCAAACAAAGTTTAATTTTGGACCCCGATTTGGACCAACTTGAAAACTGGGCCCATAATCAAAAATCTAAATACATGTTTAGATTCAGCATATCAAAGAACCCTAAGAATTCAATTTTTGATGAAATCAAACAAAGTTTAATTTTGGACCCTTTGGACCTCAATGTGGACCAATTTAAAAACAGGGCCCAAAATCCAAAAACTTAATACACGGTTAGATTCAGCATATTAAAGAACCCCAAGAATTCAAGAATAAAACCCCATTGAAATTGGTCAAGAAATTATAAGCAATTTATACGAAGTATCTTCTTTTGCACAATACTGTGCAATTGAATATTTCTTGCTATTGCGCAATACTGTGCAATTGACAATTTCTTGCTATTGCGCAATATTGTGCTATTGGATATTTCTTGCTATTGCGCAATACTGTGCAATTGAAGATTTCTTGCTATTGCGCAATACTGTGCAATTGAAGATTTCTCGCTATTGTGCAATACTGTGCAATTGAAAATTTCTTGCTATTGCACAATACTTATTATATAATAATTTACACATCCTGTTTGGTGTGTATCTCCTACCATATCATTATTATTTGCTTTTAAATATAAACAAGAAATAACCAACTTAAAATGGAAAATTTTAAAAGAAAAAAAAAAGGAAAAAAAGAAAAAAAAGGAAGAAACCCCCCCCCCCCAATTTTTTGAACCCCCTTATGATTCATCACCCCCAAACTCAATCCCAGCCTTCCCTTTGTGGTATGGTACCTTGCAGTACAATTTCAGAGAGATCCATACACTTGAACACAAGTTATTGTCTGGAAACTAGAAAAATGTGTTTTTTGGCCCCTTCTTGGCCCCAAATTCCTAAACGTTTAGGGCAATTACCCCCAAACTCAAACCCAGCTTTCCCTTTGTGATATGGAACCTTGTAGTACAATTTCAGAAAGATCACTTACACACAAGTTATTGTCCTGAAACTAGAAAAATGCTTGTTTTTTGCCCCTTTTTGGCCCTAATTCCTAAAATATTGAGGCAATATTACCCCCATCATCAATCCCAGCCTTCCCTTTGTGGTATGGTACCTTGCAGTACAAATTCAGAGAGATCCATACACTTGAACACAAGTTATTGTCTGGAAACTAGAAAAATGCTTATTTTTGGCCCCCATTTCCTAAACGTTTCGGGCAATTACCCCCAAACTCAATTCCAGCTTTCCCTTTGTGAGTGTGATATGGAACCTTGTAGTACAATTTCAGAAATATCCAAACACTTACACACAAGTTATGTCATGAAACTAGAAAAATGCTTGTTTTTTTACCCTTTTTTTGGCCCCTAATCAGTCCTAAAATTTTGAGGCAATTACCCCTAAAATCAATTCCAGCCTTCCCTTTGTGATATGGAACCTTGTGGTACAATGTCAGAGAGATCCATACACTTGCACACAAGTTATTGTCTGAAAGTTACAAAAATGCTTATTTTTGGCCCCTTTTTGGCCCCTAATTCCTTAACTGTTGGTACCATAACCCCAAAAATCAATCCCAACCTTCCTTTTGTGGTATTGAACCTTATGGTAAAATTCATAGAGATCCATTCACTTAAACTAAAGTTATAGTGCGAAAACTATTAATTGTGTCTTCGGACGACGACGACGACGCCGGACGACGACGACGGACGACGACGACGACGCCAACATCATACCAATATACGACCGCAAAATTTTTGCGGTCGTATAGCAATCATCAAGAAAGTAACAGTTGCATGCATACAAAATGGACTGATACAGTAGACAATTTAAAATTGAGGTTGTAGAGGTCATACACCCTTGCTGTGATTTTCAAAAAGTAACATTTACTGTTACTGATATTAAAAGCATTCTTCTGTCATCAAACCCTGGATATTTCACTAATCTTTAATTTGAGTATTAAGAATTACTTCCTGTTATCAAGAATTTTATATGACATAAATGCCTTAACTTCAAAAATATGGACACATACAAAAATTTAAGTTCAAAATTCAGAATTTGATGAATCATGTATGTACGTTATAAATGAAGCATATTAAAGAGTTGGGATTAATATTATAAAAGTATTCCTACATTCATATTGAAACAACAAGATAGGGTATGGTTGCTAATGAGACAATAAACTACACCCACGACCAAATGTTGTTGATTTAAGCAGTTTGGATATGATTTGAATATTCCAGCTATTTTCTACTTTAGTAATTTCAAAATGTAAACAAGTCATAAAAGGATGTCAGAATTCAAATGATAATGAGATGCCAGCATCCCAATAAAGCAGGATGCCAGCACCCCAAAATGATGGGATGCCAGCATCCCAATATGACGGGATGCCAGCATTCCAATATAATGGGACTCCAGCATCCCAATATCATGTGATGTCAGCATTCCAATATAATGGAAGTCCTGCATAAAAAATATTAAATCCTGCATTTAAAATATGCAGTAGCAGCATAAAGCTTGAAAATATTTTGAAAAAATAAAATAAGCAAAACTCGCATCTT